TCATTAATGAGATGTCATGGCAACCAACCGCAATGAAACATGTCAACGTACAAAACGTGAGGCGAAACAAATGACTCCAGTGTCTTTTCATAGACAAAACTGGTGTTAATCTGAAACGTAAGTGCAGTATGAGGCTGGGTTTGATGGGACAGTGACTGTCACTGATGATCGCAGCAGCTGTGAAACAGCGTGTGAGTCATACAGACAGCAGAAAAACAGGAACAGTGAGAACATCAGACTCTCTGCCTCTTGTTAATGACCTGCAATGAGACATAGATTTCAGTTTTTGACTCCACTCATCACATCACTTTAAATAATCTAATAACACTGCAGCCCTATTTATATTTTAATGTGGTAGGGCTAAACGTTTTATTCCAGTGGGACCAGTGTATGTTGACCTTATCTCACACATGTTTAGCCAGTGTTTGGCTTTCTTATTTTCTGTTATAGCAACAGAAACATCCCCTCCATGGGATGAAGATGCAAGGACAGAGGATGATGACCGTGACACAGTCCTGTGTCTGCGTCAGCACGGTGTGTGTTTGTAGGAACACCATGAAGTGCCAAAACGTTGCTGAAAACTGGCCACAGCGATGAACTGGAATCCAGACTGCTTGACCAAGAATAGAGGAAACAGCAGCAGTGTTACGTGGGCAGGTGAAGACAGTCACACTGGAGGCCTGGTTCTTAATTCAAGCTTCATAATATTTATTGAACGAACAACTTCCATCCTGTTTCCATAGATACAGTGTGAGCCTCCTGAGGATGCTGCTTTGTACAGTACAGTGTGTGATGTACATTCATAATGAATAATGAACTGGCCTGCACACACACACACACACAGTGACAGCACCACACACTCTGCAGCTGATACAGTAATTTGTGGTTAATGGCACAGATGAGATGGATCCATCATCACAGGCATGTGCTCACATCATGAGTGGAGCTGGAGGTCAGGATGGGTGTTAGCTGTGGCGGCTATGTGGCTTCAGGCTTGGGGATGTGAGTCGGTGCTTTTATCTTCACAACCTGTACAGGTGTCTGACTGCGACTGGATGGACTGCAGGGACTTTGCCTCAGGTATTTTTGATCCTCTGACTTTGTACGTAGCCACTCAGGAGTCAGATGGGCTCCTCAGAATGTACCTCCCTTAACCTGCTCACGTTACAGTTGTGTGAACCTCCTCCCAAAGAGATTGTTTTACAGTTTAGTTGTTGCCCACACACTGTTAAACCGTCAGCTGTACGGAGCAGGAGGGTGATGACCCCTTCTTCTGCTCTCTGCGTCTGTGGACTGAACTAAAGTGGGGCTCCTGATGTGGCATGAAGCTTTGGATTAGTACAGGAGTATGTTAACACTCAGTCGGCCTCCTGAATCTGTGAGGTTCTGCAGTTGTTCATCAGCCTCTGTCCAGGATGGAACTCCTTGGAAATTGGGCGTCTTTGAAGACTGAATGCTTCCAGATTTTCATCACCAGCATTTTTAATGCAGTTGGAATTTGTGGCACGTCCCAAGACACTGTTTAAAGAACTGGAACACTGTGTGTCTGAAAAAAATTCAGAGTGTTCATGGTGATTTATGGGTCCTTTAAAAGAAGGACATCCTGATTGGAAACGCGTGTGTCGCACTCCAGCAGAGTCCTCAGCTGCTGATGATACGCACGGGACCTCTTTGTGCAGAAAACGACAGGCAGCTTCCCATGACTAAACTGCGGTTAGTGTGGTTTCCAGACTCCAGGGGGCAAGAGAGCTGCGAAGCACATGGACAGGCACTCAGCACTGAATTTGCTGCATTAGGTTTTCAAACCTGTTCACCTGTTTCTTATGTCCACGTCCATCGTCTCCAGATCAATATGCTCCTCCGTGCACAGTGTGTCCGTGTCTCCCTGATGAGCCTCAGCCCAGTGCTCCCTCTCTGTTCACTCTTAGGTTTGGTCTCCACCTCCTCCTGAGGGAAACCTCTGGCTCTGGAGCTGCCAAGTGCTCCATTGTATTCACCAGCTGGTCTCTGACTGTCTCTGTCTGCTGCTTGCTGACAGCGGCTGTTCAGAGCAGCTTCTCTGGAAACAGCTGCCTTCTGCTGTGGCTGAAAACACTGAGACTGAACCAGACAGTAATTGTGCTGCTAAATCAAAACCAGGCATCAAAAGACGCCAAATAATCTTTAATTACCAAGCACCTTTCAAAACCAATTTGTAAATGCTTCATAGAGGGTAACTCCACATAAACCAGTAAAGTAAGATGAAGGGAACTAAAATTAGAACGAGAACCAGACACTTCAGGTAAAAAAACAAATCTGAACATCACACATTTATTTTTAGGTTTCATTTTCAAAGGATAGTATTTATATCTATTGCAAATAAATGTTGTTAAATTGACTTGGAAATCATAGATTATAGCCGCAGAACCTGCCTGAGAGTCCTCCTGTTGCTGAGTTTCCTTCAGTATCACGGTGATCCAGTGACAGTTGACTGTACATCGATGGCGATGCTGCTCACAGGAGTTGCTCAGGGTATTTCTACAGGCTTCTCCTGGTAGGAATTTGGCAGGATATAAACAAATATGGGCTAAAAATGTGTCGTCCAAAGCTGAATGAGTGAGTCCATGGAACCGAGCCCTGGGTCTCTGCAGTAGACTGTGCACTGATGCTCAGGATATAGCTGTCAAAATGTAACTTCTTAAATATGTGCAGAGTGATATGACAAATAAAAGCTTGAGATTTCCAGATAGCTCCTTCGTTTCCTGGAAGCACTGACATGACTAACAAGAACTGATGGTGTTATTTATCATCAGTTTGACTGCCTTTCATTAAGCCTCTCCTATCTATCTATCTTTACACATGTGGAAATAAGAGCAGCACAACAACACGGATGATCAAACACTTCCAGCTCTCCCAGTGTGTTTGTGCCCAACTGAGCAGTTCTCTGTATGCAAATATGGAAAAGTGTGTCTGTGTGAATGATTCAGTGATGTCAAGTGAGCTTGTGAATAATACACAGGACATGCATTCAGCTGTGAATATTTCATGGTGGTGAAAGTGAGTAGAAATGCATCGTCCAGTAAGAAAAAAGAGATGGCAGGTCGGTGAAGAAATACCACGGCCCACGTTACTGCTGAGGACACCAAAGTCCTGCCGGTTAACATCAGTTACACACCGAGACCACATGGAAGGGTGTTCAACAGGGGGTAGAGTGGTCATTCCCTAACTAGAAGGGTGGCAGTTCAATTCCCATTGTCCCCAGTTCACATGTCAAAGTGTCCTTGGGCAAGACACTTAACCCCAAGTTGCCCACGATGGCCAGAGTAGCGCCCTGCAGGGACAGTGTGATGTACCACCGTATTTATGGATAACTATTGCTGGATTATGTTACTGGCATGAAAATGTTCAAGTTAATTGTCTTGGACATTTAAGTTATTGTGGATGCACTGAGCTGCAGTAGCACGTGAACGTCTGAAGCTGTTTTTGTGTCAGAACAGTCAGCAGGTGTGGACCAACATGCTTCGCACACTGATACAGGGCCCTGCTGCTAACACTGCAGCACTTTGACTAAATCTTTCTTAAAATAAGCTCTTGAATCTTCTGCAGTGCAGCCATCTCAGCTCGTCACAATCCCTCCGTCTCTGCGGGGCCTAACCCTGCCTGCAGGATGTGTGTGCTGCTGTTCTCCTGTCTTTGTGAGGACTTTGTGAGATCTTGACATTGGGTTTTTGCTCTTTCAGAGGGCTGTTTGAGGGTCCAACACTGTGTCAGTGGGAATGTATGTGTCTGGACTCTGGCATGTCAGACCATCCAGCTGCCTCTCCATCAGCTGCCTCCTCACTGTTGACACTGTGGTCAGAGGCTTGCAGCAGACGTGGACGGACGGCAGCTCCAGTCCAGCCAGCACACGGGGTTTACTGGGAGTCTCCCTGCGCTACGTGATGTGGTGTGTAGCAGTTCATGGACAGCCACTGATATGATGGTGTCTCAGTCAAAGTGGGATGAGCTGTGGACCTCAGCTGGTTTCCTGATGGTGACGACTGCAGAGCAGAGAGAGAGTGCGATGTGTCCAGCATGTCACACACTCTGAACTACAGTATTACACTGTGAATCCTGCATCACAGACTTTGTGGTCATTTCATCTCATTTTGCCTATTTTATTATAAGTCTTCATGATTTGTTGTGTAACTTCTATATTGTATGTAATAGCTGTGAGTCTGTAGACCCATTCTTAATCACTGAACATGAGAACTTAAGAGGGATGCATAGTAAAACTTCATACTAACATTATCACAATCCTTCCAAGAGCTGTGGAGATAGTTCACTTAATACCGCAAATGTGAACCTCCTGGTGGTGTGAGGAGACATTGGAGGATCCCAGCGTCACTAAGACTTATCCTTTGGAAACCACAGCTGTCTGTACAGAACTCAGAAGCGGTCCATGTGGTAGCTGTTAAAATATTTTGGTTGGGACCAGAGTGGTGAACCAACAGAGGGCTGAAGACGTTGTTAGTGAGGATGTGTGGGTACGTTTGGATTAAAATAAATGGCATTATTCCCACCCAGTGCTGACAACACAGTGAAATCTCAGTAGGAATGACGGCAGCACTGCATCCTTGCATAGCCGCTGCTGGTTAGTGATGTGGATGCAGCTGAATTCTGGCCTGTCAGACAGAAATGAGGGGTTTGATCAGAGCCAATGATCAGTCTGCTCCTCTGATGGTTCCATGGGGTGCGCCACGGGGACTTGGGACTGATAATGATAATGAGCAGCCCACTAAATATATACATAAAGTGTATTAGCACGGTCTTGTGTCAAGCTGCTGCTGAAAAGTCAGTGTAGATGTGTCAGAGGTGCTTTGGGTTTGAGCATTCATCCTTGTTGGAAAGTCAGCCAGTTCTGTGACTTTGCTTCCTAACAGACTAAAGGTTTCTTGGTTTTCCAACAGCTCTTGCCTCCTGCCTCATTTCTATCTTTTCTATAACATTATCTCCTAACTCTCCCTTGTTTTCTCCCACAGGCGGACTGTGATTGTGGCTGTGACTGGATGAGCCTGTCTCTTCCCCATCCATAGATCCATCAGCCAGAGGAAGGATCTGATGAGAGGACTGCAGCGAGAGGAGAAGAGAAACCACCTGCAATGGCCAGCGGTACATAACCAGATTATAATTACACTCTCAGACTTACTGCATTGGCCTGAACATACAAGGAGGACCCCGAGTATAAGACAGGCCTACGTCTCCAACATCTGGTTTTAAGAAACAGACATTGGAGGTGCAGAGACACTTTTACACTCATCCCGTTGGGAACATTGTCCTAATCCAAGGAGAAAGTAAAACATGAAATATGGTCTTACATAAAGGTTTTACTGGGGGAGACGCTATGACCTCGTTTTCACTCCTCATGGGGTCTTTATTCAGACGCATTACAGCAGCCTTCAGAAATGTCTGCAGGTCAGACCAGACTAGACCAGACTTTGAGTCATGGATGACCCTGACAGACTCTTACAGACTGAAGACAGTTGCAACGCTAACCCCTGTCTGCAGCATCCCCTGGTGTGTGTAAGCCAGCACCTACACTGTTTACATATGTGGCTTAAAATTTTACAGCACTGAGCCATGTTCAATTTAAAAATACATCATATGTCTGTGGAAAATATTCTTGCCTAGTTTTAACTGTGGCGTAGCAAGAATATGTCTGTATATGTATAGATCCATGAAGGAACCCTTCCTCCAACCCCCTTTCAGGCACAGAATGGTTCTTTGCTCTAAGCCCTGTACATATGAAACAAGTCTGTAATTAGCCACTCACGAGCTACAATCAAATGACACGTTTATCATCCCCTCTCATTTGCTTTATAGCCAACTTTTAAAGACCATGGCTTTATAAACTCTGAACATTTTTTTTTGCTACTATCACTATGACAAAATGATTAATAAAGATGATTAATCAATCATTCAGATGTTGTGCAGGTGAATAACCAAGTACTGTTGCCTGTAACAGTACCAGTGTCATCTTCACTGTCCAACACTGACCATGGTTCTGTGATTACACCAGATGTTATTAAATCGGAGGATGAAAACTCATAATAGGCCTAAACCACCTGCTACAGGAGGGGTTAAGTACCCATAATAACACGACCCATAATGCACCACTGTGTAGACCACCATGATACACTGGTTCTCTGTCCATCCAATGGGAATATAGACACTGTGACCATGACATTGTCTCTTCCTGGAATATTAGACAAGGTCGGCGGTTCGATTCCCATTGTCTCAGTTCACATGTCGAAGTGTCCTTATGCAAGACACTGAACCCTGAGTTGCCAACGATGGCCAGAGCAGCGCCCTGCAGGGACAGTGTAGCATACCACTGGATTAATGGACAACTATTGCTGACATTGTCTCTTTCTGGAATTTAAGACAAACCCCACTTTTAAACTCCTAAACCTTTAAACTTAAACCTTTTAAAAGTTTCCAGAACACAGTATTTTGTCCATATTCCAGCTGATACAATGCACTGAGCCCTCATTCCTGAAAAACCAGGACTGCACATTGTCATCAGTCTGATGTCTGTGTGCTTTCTCCTCCCCGGAGTAGCAGCCGATGGAGTCGGCAGTCTGGGTGCAGAGCAGAACCATCTGAGTGTCCCTGTCACTGACCACGGAGCCTGGGCCACAGCCATGAACAACCTGGGTATTGTGCCCGTGGGCATCGGCGGGCAGCAGCTCGTCTCAGGTATCTTCTCTTCTGAACCTTGTAGAACTGATTTTGATTTTGATGGATCAGCTGTGATTTGTTATACCACTGCTGGATTTTATGTTCATTGGTATGTTTAGTTGTTTTGTTTAAGTGTCTCCTCTCAGAGAGGAGCCTGACATGGAGCCAGAGCGTTTCTGTAAACCTGCGGTCAGGGAGGAGCTGCACTGTCACACGTCATCTGTCTCTGGTTCTTATGCTGACTTTAGTGTTGTAGTAAATGGCAACAGCAGTAGTGGGACAGTGTTATACTTGTGCCCTTGTACTGTGGTATTTGCTGTATTGGTACTTTTGCTGAGTACTACAGTGTGAGACGCAGCACAGCTGGAAACAAACCACAGCGTCTGTACATAATAGATGCTCGGCTGAGTTCTTGTTCCTGGATCTGGCCGGTGGAGTCGAATGTCCACAGAGACACGTGTGCGGTCGTGTACAGGACATTGTGACTGTACTGCAAACACACCGCCCTCACTTGTTACTGCAACACAAAGAACACTAAGCTTTGTGAGTTTAATTCTCTGTTTCCCCTGGTTTAATTTCACCTTGGAATCTCTTTAGTAAACTGTTCTGTCAGACATGGGGATTTGCCTGTGTGCCTTTCTACTGTATAACAGCCTGGCAGGGTGTTGCTGTAGGAATGCTGCATTGTGGGGGTTTATGAAATGAGCACACTGGAAGTTAGTTTTTGTGTTAAGCCCAAAATAAATGAATGCATGTATTAATCTGAAGCTGCGATGAGGAAAGAGCAACAGTCCGTCTAATTCCTCTGCAGTGGAAAGATTAAAACGGTGACCTGATACTACTGCAGCGATGATGTGATGCAGATCAGAGTCCACCTCTGGAAACAGCTGTGGATCTCCACCCTCCTTAAACTACATGTGGGAACATTTAGATGTAGATGAGGAAAAGTGGACAGCAATCAGGCAAAAACGAAAGCCTGAGTGAATCTGAGATATGTTAAAGGGTCAGTTCACCCGGATCACAAAAGCACATGTTTCCACTTAGTGAGACAGTTTTACCCCCAGGAGGTTGTTAAATCAGTGAAGTGGATTGTACTGCTTGGAGGTGATACTGGGGGACTGTGGGAGGGCGGTCAGGAATCTCTGGACTGAATGGGCGATTATTTGAAATTTGTATTTTAAATGTGCTGGTGGTATTTCTTTATGACCATTTTATGGAAATTGCTATATCTTGTGTGTCTGGCTGTCTGGGTGCGACTGACCAGATCTCACCTTCAGCCATATCTTTCCCACTGAGGCGGAAGCTGTCTGGTTCTGGTTCTAGTTCTGGTTGTGATGAATAACAGTCACAGCATAATTGCAGTTAAATGCATAAATGCTCCTTTTCTCTGTCTCCCGTCTTTGGCTCTGCTTTCTGTTTTTCTCCTCCCTGTGTGTTTTATTTCTTCTCTGCATTTTTCCTTGGTTTCGGTCCCTGGCAGACACGGCGGCGCTCGAGCCAGAGAAATGAATCTGGCTCGAGTCACTTTGGCTCCGGGAGAAAAAGCTGCAGGCACCAGCCGCTCTGTGTGATTATGATGAATGTGTGGCACCAAGATGTGTAATTTACCTGTCAGGGTTATCGCAGACAACGCTTTAATGAGTTTTCCGAAGACCTGAGGAGTCTCTGAATGCACCCCGGCTACACGTGCTCAGGTTTATGGAAGATCCCCTCCAAGTGGGTTTTCTGCCTTTTATCTCTCATAAAGAGTGTGAGGAGCTTTTTTTTTTCTTTTAGTCAAAACCGTGTGCAGAAGTGTGTTCCAGCTCTTTAGCCTACAGCACACTGTGCACTCTAATGCTGCTGGAAAATGGATGTGTTAGGGAGTTTGGGGTTGTGCTGACCAAAGAAAACCTGCTTAAAACCCAGCTATCTTGTTCAGGAAGATATCACAGGAAGTACAAAGTGATCCTGTGTCTGCAGCTAACATCAGCTGAGTGAGTGTGTTTGGTGTGAGGAGAGGGAGGGCGTAGCGGTGCTTTCTGTATTTAATGGTGTGTTAACTGAAAACACAGCAGCTCTGTACATCTCTGCCTAAATCACTGGAGTTTCTGATAGATACTGTTTATCTGCATCTGCGACACATTTGAAAAACAACAGTGACAGCCTTCACCGGTGGCGTAGGGCAGCCAGTCGAGGCGAACCCCGGGGCGCTCGCTGCAGCTTGTTAAGAAGAAGAAGCTTTATTTTATTGTCACTGTAACATTGTGACACGTACAACGAAATTTTGTTTGGAGCCAAGGGCCCCAGGCCACTGTGTGCATACACAGGCAACTTGGTAAAAACTGAAGGAGGCTCAGACAAGTGAATGACCCACTCAGATCTTCTCTCATGTGGACTGTGGCTGCTAGACAGTCAGGACTGAGTTCAGGATTTGGACCGGCGGCTGGCATTAGACTAGGCTCAGACCTCTACAGGCCTCACAGTGGACTGTTTTTATGGGACCTATTTTTCTGCTCTTTTCTACTGTAAATGTTGGGAGCTCACCTCCAGGGGAAGCTATGGCTGGGTACTCGGGGCAAATGAGACAATATTCCCTCCTCACACAGCAGGGCCAGAGTGAGGACACACTGCCAGGACAACATCATGTCCTCAGGGTGACTGAGGATCAACACTGTTTCTCACAGTAAATGTTAAAGTCTGCTTTTATTGCACCTCCATCCACATTGAACGTTCACACACATCAGTCAGACATGATGGGAGGTGCAGGTGCTCTTTTTATCAGTCGTTGCTTCTTCTTGTCTTTATCCCACACAAGCTGGACTTCTTGTGTGTGGACTATTTAGAGCAGCACCAGGAAAAGCTTTAACACTAAATCACTGGTGCATTCGAGCAGCCCTCCATACCGAGCAGCAGCACAAACATTTCTGTGAGGGACGTGTGTCCTGTCCTTGTGCGACAGCTTCCCTCGACTGGAATTTGAATCACTTTATTCTCCCTGCTGTTGTGGCTGTGTGGGCAGCAGTGGGGGGATTTTCTGCTGATGCTTTGTTCCTCCTTCTCCCTTGTTGTTTCAGCGTTGAAGATAGAAACATGTGATGCTGCACCACCCTCCTCTGTTTTCCCCGACAGCTGAGACATTGCTCCTGTTGCCCTCTGTCCTCCTGCTGTTTGTCTTCTTCCTCACATTCTGGAGAACAGACATTTCCTACCTTTCCCACTAGTACAGTTTTTAATTTTTGCTTCCTACTGATTCAGGCCCTGTTCTTCCCCTCTCCTGTTGTCTTTTCCTTTCCTTGATTTGTTGTTGGAAATGCTTAGTATTACAAAGATGGAACATATAAAACTCGTGTACAATAGAAATGTGTCAAAGTACAAGCAGAATAAGATTACAGAAAATAAAATCAGAAAGCCTGTAGGCATCTGTATAGTGCCACTGCAATAAATTAAGTGCCAAAAGCCAGCCTGAATAGGTGTGTTTTTAATTTAGACTTGAAGGCCACTAACTCATTTATAGACTGAAGCTCAGGTGGTAGGGTATTCCAGAGCTTGGGGGCATATACAGCAAAAGAACCATCACCTCACTTTTTGTACCTTGCCCGCGGGACAACCAGAGACAAGTGCTTAGAGGAATGCAGCGCCCTGACCAGGGTATGAATAGTTAAAAGATCGGTCAAATAAGCTGGAGCAAGGCCATTAATGGCCTTGAACATGAACAATAAAACCTTAAAATCAATTTTAAACTGTACTGGAAGCCACTGGAGAGACTGAAGGACAGGGGTGATATGAGCATGCTTTGGAGTATTTGACAGTAGGCAAGCAGCCGCGTTCTGTACTAGTTGGACCCTACGGAGGAGAGACTGGTTAATTCCAGTATAGAGGGTGTTGCAGTAGTCAAGTCACAAGATAATGAAAGTATGAATGGCTTTTTCTAGGTCAACTCGAGATAAAAAGGAGCTTTACCTTTGCTGAGAGCCTCAGTTGAAAGAAGCTTATTTTGACCACAGAGCTAATCTGCTTGTCAAATTTGAGGCTGCTGTCAAATAACACTCCTAGGTTGGTCACAGTTTGAGTGAATAAAGGGGCTGAAGCTCCTAGGCCGGGTACGATATGAGTAGGGGCAGGACTAAAAGCGATCTATTCAGTCCTCCCCTCATTCAAATGAAAGAAGTTCTGTGAGAACCACTGTTTAATATCACACAGGCACCTATTCAAAGGTGCTAGTGCATTGGCATCACTCTGCATCAATGGTAAGTAAATCTGCACATTATCAGCATAAAAATGAAAGCGGCTGTTATGCCTGGAGATAATTGAACCTAACGGTAGCATATATAGCAAGAAAAGTATAGGTGCCAGGATTGAGCCTGGGGGTAGAGGGCCTATTGTAGAGGTATTGAGTCATTGATCACAACTGAGAAGGTCCTATTTGTCAGAAAATAAATAAACCATTTGAGCACAGCATCGTGCAAGCCCAATGTTCAAGGAAATGAGAACTGCATGATCCATGGTGTCGAAGGCTGCTGTGAGATCTAGAAGCACTAGAACAGTGGGACTCTTCGCATCAAGGGCAGTGAGAATATCATTGTGCACCTTCAGTAGCATGGATTCAGTGCTCTGCTGGGACCTAAAGGCTGATTGAAATTTATCAACAACAGCATAGAGTTGAAGATGTGACTGTAAACTGTGTGAGGACAATTTTCTCCATGATCTTGGTTAAAAAAGGCGGATGTGAGATTGGACGAAAATAAGAAGGGAGCATGGGGTTGATGTTAGGCTTCTTGGGAAGTGGTCTGACTACAGCATGCTTAAGGACAGTGGGGACAATACCCAGCCTAAGGCAGCTCTTAATAAATGTGACCAGGCAAGACCCAATAGTGTCAATGGCCTCCTTCATTATCCTAGCAGGGACAATATCCAGAGGGCAGTAAGTGGATTTTAGTTGTGCTAACAGTTGTGTCATTGTGTCCTGCAGACTCTCTGTGCATCCAGAGATTTAACACCGGGCTGGGCCTCATTGCACCCATAAACCCCATGATGGCGGGCATCAGCCTGGTGCCTCCTCCTCCCATACCCCCCGACATGCCGGTCATCAAGGAGATTATCCACTGCAAGAGCTGCACTCTGTTCCCTCAGAACCCCAGTAAGATCCCACCATAGTCATTCTCTGCACTACACTCACATACTGTGCTGTTGAAGGAGAGATTTCTCACAACTTCCCCACTTCCAAGATGCATGGAAGAAGAAGGAAAGTCTAAAGAGGTCAGAACTCCAGCAGCACTTGTAGTATAAAGAATAGCGTTGTTGGCAGACCAATGCATTGTGGCTATAGGCCTTCATCAGGGTCATCATACAACACAAGATTAAAAGACCACTGGTCATAAAGCAACACACACTGTGCTTACTGCAACAGCCACCAGAGGTTCCAGAGGTCTCACACATTACTGTCAATCATAATAATAATGTTCTGCAGACTTGCCCCCTCCATCGACACGGGAGCGTCCCCCCGGCTGTAAGACGGTGTTTGTTGGAGGTTTGCCTGAGAGCGCCACAGAGGAAATCATCAGGGAGGTGTTCAACCAGTGCGGGGAGATCAATGCCATCCGCAAGAGCAAGAAGAACTTCTGCCACATCCGCTTCAGTGAGGAGTTCATGGTGGACAAGGCTATTTACCTGTCAGGTGAGGATTCATCACACCTCGCTCTGAGCCTGTCACAGGAGACTCTTTGACACTGACAGTGATGTTTTTTCTCCTCCAAGGTTATCGGATGCGCATCGGGTCCAGCACAGATAAAAAGGACTCAGGGAGGATCCATGTGGACTTTGCCCAAGCCCGAGACGACCTCTATGAATGGGAGTGCAAACAACGTTTGCTGGCCAGAGAGGAAAGACACCGGCGCAAGATCCACGAAGACCGCCTACGCCCGCCGTCTCCACCCCCCATCGTGCACTACTCTGAACACGAGGCGGCGCTGTTAGCAGAAAGGCTGAAAGGTGAGCACACAGTTTGCATTTAAAGGGTAATTCTTCCCATGTATGGCAAGAAACTGTAAAAGGTACAAGTTTATTTACTGGTAAATTCACTCTGACCCATGTGCTGATGGAATGTGATAAAGGCAAATGGACGAATGTGCTTCAGCAGGTCACTTTTATCAGACATATCCATCTAAAATCATGTCTGGCTTGTCAAAGCTGATTTTGAGATCATTGTTAGCAACACTCCAAATCTGACTTGTCAACACGCCTGTCGTCGTGAGCGTGTAATCTGCTGTTCAGCGCTGCCCATCACCTCCACATGAATTATCAGAAACCTGCACATCTCCGGTGGCGCTGCTGGGAGAGGACCAATATAGTCGCCAACCGTGGGAAGCAGGGCTGCGGACTGAACAGTTCCTGTGTGCATGTGTCTCTACACGTCACTGTTCTGCAGTTCCACTTACTGCAGTGTTTTGCTTACAGAGCTTCAGCCCAACAAGTGGGTTTTGTAACTACAGAGTTGGATGAAAGCAGCATCACATCTATAGACCATATACATGGGAGTTCTTTTAGCTATTTCAGAATTCAAAGGGCAGTCCATGTTCTTGCACAGACGCTGTTGAGGGTAGAGGCTGACCCACTTACCAATGATCCCAGTGATGCTTCACACTACAGAGGTTTTCCTGTGCCAACAATAATGTGACATAACATTTCTATCTTTTGAGCATCATGACTACATTTTACCATAATAATATACCCTCCACAGTAAGGAGGGAAGAGAGGAAAGGTGGGAGTGAACTGGCAGAGGTGTGGGTGAAGCCACTGATGAGGGATGTTGTTTTGGTGTTGTGGAGGAAGGTGAAGGTCACTCCACCTCCTCCTCCTCCTCTGGTCTGCTGCTGATTCTTATTTCCAGAACTGGAAATGCTGCTGTTGTGCTGTCTTCAGGCTCATAGTTTTTACTGCATTTATGAAAATACCTTTGCTTTTAATGCTGTTTAATCTCATTCATATCCAGCACATTACTCATTACTGTGCAAACCCTCCTGTTTCCTCAGAGCGATCAGGGAAACTAAACAGCACAGACCTTGTCCTCATTTTAACTGACACTACAGTTGTCTTTTTTTAGAGGAAAACTATTAGTAGTAAAAAAGTTTAAGTCTGTTTAAATGTATTCATGTAATATTTACCACAGTAGTAATACCACATTTACTACCAGAACTTTGACTTCAGATGATACTGCAGTATCCCTGGTATTTCATCCCAGTAGCCTGGTGCTGGGCAGAACTGTCAGTGGTAGCAAGTCCAGTTGCACCTGTTTGATGTTTAACAAGCCCCTGGTCAAACAGGGAGTGTAGACACATTCCTGTCTGTCTAATAAAATCTAAACAGCCCGGTCCTGGCTCTGCTGCAGTGATGTTGCCGAGTCCCCAGGCCTCAGCCACTGACCTGGTCTGTAAAATGTCAGGAGCATTATCACAGGAGGAGATGCTGCAGGCCGGGTGAAGCACAGTGGAACTGTGCAACCTCTGAACACATTCATTCATTTTAGCACTTTCCTATCAAATATTCTGTTGTGGGTCACAGCTGAAAATTGTTATAGAACCATAGACTTGTATTTGGTTTCCTGTCTCAGTATCCTGATGGGGCTGTGACTCAGCTCAGTGAATAGAGGAGCCATTGGACCAGGGATGCAGTGTCTGTCCAGCAGTCGGAGAGAGGTTACGTGTTATCTGAACGTCCACAGGTGTATTTAGAGTGTTTACTCTGGTTTTTAAGGGTCTGTCGGCTTTGCTCCTGTAAATGCAGTCTTTTATTTTGAAACTCACAGAGTAGAAAGGTGAGGTGATGAGGGTAAAACCAAATGCTGTACAAAGTACTGACAGCATCAGCCTGTGTCAATCCCCACCCTGAGTTCTCATCATGAAACCAGCTGCAGGAAGTCATCACAGACATGGCACTGAATGTGCAGACTGTCCAGTGGCTGTGTCCAGCAGCTGCTTAGCTTAGCTTAGCCTAGCTTAGCACAGAGACTGGAGGCAGAGGGAAACGACCCTCTGCCAGTGACTGACGTTACTCCTCGGTGCAGAAATTTGACTGGAAACCAGTTCTCCAGTTTCCCAGAAAGAGAACTAACCACAACCAGGCATTTCAGCTTGCTTCAGTAAATGTGTAATGCAGCGAATGTGCCTTTCCTTTTCATGAAAACCAACTCTGCAGACTGGAGTCTTTGACTCTGAGTTGCACCACTAAAGAATGATCATGCATCTGTTACAGTAACACAAGTAAAATCATGTGAATCGAAGTCAGAGTAGCTCCAGCTTCCTCTTTCTCTCTGCTGCTGTAGAAACCAGCAGCATGTGGTTTTGATTTGTCAGTGTTTGTTTCAACACCCACACCTCAGCCTAGGTGCTGTTTCCCACCCATCCTCTAATGTCCCACATAAACAAGCATGTTTTCTCTCTGTATAACCTTTTTGAATTCATTCTTCACCTCAGACAGCGGGGGAAATAAATTTCCATTATTCCTTCCGTCTTCCCTGTTCAGCAGCGCTTCATTGTGCTCGCTGTAATGTGACGGTAATCTGCTGCTGTGTGTGAATGGGGCTTTATCTCAGGATGGAGAAGTGTCTTCTTACAGGTTGTGTTGCAGCAGGTATTGAGCTCATTAAATGCTCTCTAATTCACTCTGTTCTGCCGTCATCCACAGCTCCATGGCACCGTTCAATTATTATTCAAATGGAGGAGAACGCACTCGCCGGAGGCCCGCAGAGACTCAACACTGTTTATAACTGAGACCGAGTGCGGCTCACAGTCCTGGGTAAAATGTTGAAAATCAAAAATGCCTTTTGTGCTCAGTGGCTGTGGCATGACTCACAGAGCCGTGAACACCCCCAGAGAAGGATTTAAATGCTCACTAGCTGCTCTGTTTGTTTAGCCTGACTAAATGTTAAAGGTCCCATGAAACAGCTTTCACATTGTTCTCTGCAGTCGGTGTTGTTGCACGGCACAAGGTGCTGGGGAGCCACTATTTTACACTAAGTTGGGACAAAGTAGCACTGAAATCATGGACATGTTAAACAGAGAGTGTGGTTCGGCAAAATCCAAGATGGTGGCTTTTGCAAAGGATCCAGTCAGAGGTGCAAATTAATTTAGGATGCATTTTGTGGAATTAGTTTTCTAAACAGCATAAACTTTAGCTTCTGCTCACAGTTAGCAGAGGTTTGAGCTTATTCAGTGGATGTTTCTTGCACCTTTGGAGTCACTTCCATTCCTTTACCTTTTTTCTACAGATGACCACAAGTTCAGCGAGGCCACGGCGGTGCTCTTCACTTGGGTCGACCGGGGTGAGGTCAACCGCCGTACCGCAAATCACTTCTACTCTATGATCCAGTCGGCCAACAGCCACGTGCGGAGGTTGATGAGTGAGAAAGCTCAGCACGAGGAGGAGCTAGAGCGCGCCAAAGAGGCCTTCAAGAACGCCCTGCTGGCCATTTTAACACAGTGTAAGCAGACTTCAGTCTTTTAAACGTGTTAACAGACAGATGGACACCTCACGGGGGGAGTCTTCACTGTGATAACTGACTGTGCAGTTACTCAGGTAAGTTCAACTCATGACTTCATATGACACAACAAATAGCTTGTCTCTTCATCAATGGGGAGAACAGACAATGCAAACAAAGCAAAGTTTGAAAAAAGCCTGAGCACTAGACTGTCAGTTATTAATGTTTAAGATCTGAAGAACTGGAGTCAAATTAACATTGTTTGCATTTTTTCCCAAAAGGGTTTGTGTGTGACAAGTTTCAGACCAGTTTCAGCTGGTAACAGATTAAATGCCCAGTGTCATCCCCATGCCATTGTACAGTGTGACTGTGTTTCTGATCTCCGCTGCAGGCTACACTGCGGCACAGATTATGGAGGTGCAAACCATGAAGCCATTTTCACTAGATCCATTTTAAAGCCTGCCTCGATGCAAGTCATTTACTGTGCGAGGATCTTGGCCCAGTCTCCATGACAACACTCCCCCATCTGTCTCAGCAACAGCTCCATTATCTGTAGCTTTAGGTCAGTGGCACAGAGGTTTCAGAGCCACTCACCTGACAGCACTCTGACCTTTAATCGGCGGGTTTGGGAAATGCCAGTGGCTGTTTTCCATGTGCACTGCTGCTTAAACACTCGCTCACTGTCATGTCTCAACATCTACTCATTCAAAGCTGCATTGTATGATTTTTGAGCCAACAAGGAGCAACACAGTCCTTCCTGTGCAGTGTGTCCGTGTCCCCCCTGGTGAGTCGTCCCAGTGCTCCCACTCTGTTGGCTCTGTTCCCCAGCAGGTGTCTAGTGTTGCACTCACTTTGTCTGAGTCCGTCTTCTGGAAGCGATTCGTATATGTTAATATATACTTTTATATAATAATGATACTTATAAATTGCACTTCATGCAGCTTTATCATGTTCAGTCAGAATAAAAACAGTATATTTTGCATCACTGTGCATGTAAGTGTGTTAACAAGTCACAAGTCAGACGCTGCGGAGCGGCGAGTCCAGCGCTGTCCCAGGTCTGTGTCCGTCTGTCTGCTGTGCTCTCCACCAGAGGAAGCCCTGACAGCAGACAGATGTTTGAAATGCTGCTTTATGTTTGTAAAAATGCTGGTGCTGGAAATGTTTGAGTGACAACAAGCAGAATGTCAGAGCAGTACTCTGAAAGGCAGCATTTTAACCCTGACTGGGTGGCTCTGCTCACTGTGCCTTAAGAGTGGTACTTTTCTCATCCTTACAGTCATTCTACCACACAAGGTTCTTACATTACAGCTGTTACTCACCTTAACCATGTATTGTGACATGAGACAACACTCATTTGTGTATGAAGTCTAAACGGAGCCATCCATTCTGGATAAATGTTGCCTTTGTCAGTCATGAAGGAAGTGAAGCTGCAGGTGATGAGATGTAAGTACAGAGCGCTGGCCAGGAGAGAGACCCGCTCACCCCTTGACTCACTCCAGGTCATGTCCGCCAGCCTTAAAGGATCAATTGTTTCATCCAGGTCTGTTTCTCTGTTGGTTGTTGCATAGTGTCTTTGCATTTTCCATCTGTGCTGTAGAAACTCAGGGAAACTAGGAATCATTCATCTTTACACTGAAAGTTAACACTAAACGTAGTCCCCTGAAATGGCCCAAGGACCCACCTCAATGTCTCAATGTGAGCCCAGGAGCAGTGTGTCTTTGTGCCCAGGCAGTAGCAAGAATAACCTGTCACTAGAGACCTGGAGTCTAGAAGCTGAGGACACTCGACTTGGTGACGTGGAAATAGTGAAGGATGCTCCAGTCGGTGCAGTTCAGCCTTTTTGAGCCGCCGTGGATCATTTTAAAGTGTGATTACAGCTCTCGATAAATGTTAATCACATTCAGGATGAGCACTGATCATGGTTTCAAATCAGAGATGTGTGTTTCCCAGTTAAACATTATAAAATCACCCATCATAACATCTTTAAATGTTGTTTCTTCTGACAGTTCAAAACATTGATCATAATGTTAAGACAAAGAAAAGCTGCAAAGTCTCATATTTGAAAAACTGGAATCATTAAATATTTTTTATTTCTACTTAACAATTATGAAAATAGATGCCAGTTTCTTTCTGTCTTAAATAACAAATTAATTGACCATAAGTTGCTGCTCTACTAATTTGAGCTATTTTAAATACTGTTGGCAGATTAAACTATAATTTGGCATCGTGTTTTTAACTTCATAATATGTTTCATGATCCAAAAAAAACTGTAAAATAACTAGTAAGTAAAAAATGTCAAATAACAAACACAGTGTTTCCCTCTGAAATGTGGTGAACCACGGGCATGAAGTAGCTGACATGTATATGGTAAAGTAAAGTTCAGGTACCTCAGACGTGTACTTGAGGCCAGTGCTCAAGTTCGCATGTCGTTTCCTCGAGTGTTGGTGCAGAGTCACAAAGACCCACAGAGAAACCAGCCAGGCTGAAGTGAGTCTTCTCCGTGTCTTAAATCATGGACAAATCACGCTTGCTGAATTTGTGCTGATCGGAGGTTTCCACTCCATTTGAATTTGCACTGAGCATTTATCAGACTTTTATTTTGAATTCCAGTCGAGGTGCCAGTGATTTTTGATATTAACGTTTGGGGAGCACTTCACTCCACAGTCAGTCCTCCTGCCACCAGCAGCAGGTCAGGGCTCTGCACAGCCCACCAGCCGGTGCAGCCGGGCCTGTGGTCTCATGGCTGCCCCCACCTCACTTCTGAGCAGGTCCGTACTTCATCTGTGCAGCACACGCCCAACACTCACTGACACCATTTAGCTCATGAGTCCAGAGTAGATCAGCTGCCACTAGAGTGAACCTTCGTGGAGCCTGACCTGAACCAGGGACGACAGAGTTTTTATTTTGGAGTGAACTGTTCCCTCAACGTGAATATTTCAGTCAGCCTGTGGTCAGTGTGTGTGTGCGGTCTCTCCTCTGCCCACTGTATGAGCCTCAGTCTACATAAACGGTTTGTTTTGTCTTGACCCTTCCTCTTCCTCCTCCTCCTCCTCCTCTCTGTTCACCCCGAAGTCGAGCAGATCACCGCCGTTTTCACCGCTGCCACCAGGCAAAAGGCATGGGACCATTTCTCTAAAGCACAGCGCAAGAACATAGACATTTGGCGCAAGCAGTGTGAGGTTGGTATACTTTCTTCTGTTCTCTCCTCCCCCAACCCACTGCTCTCCTCCCCCCTGTCACTTCTGAGTCCCCAGGACAGAGCTGACAGACAGGCCTGTAGGATCCGCTGTGTTTGCTGCCTGTTGCTCGTTTCCCAGAGACACAGATGGACAGACACACACAGACAGGGCCTCTGATCGCCTGAGCCTCTCCTCCTCCAAGCAGCCCAGATGTAAAGCAAAGATCTGACGCCTCCTCGAAAGTGTGAGGCGCTGCTATGGCAACCGTGATCTCCAGGCTTAGATCTGATCAATTATTCATCCAGAGTCAAGTCTAGATGAGACATGAGGAGGCTGTGTGTGGAGGAGGGAGGACAACAGGGTGGACTCACTCTGCCGCTCTGTGAGGCCACATACGCACAAAATAAGAACACATAGTACAAACATGTAATACTTGTAACATTAATGTAGCTGTAATCAGACATGTGTCACTGTTTATTGATGTTCAGTATTTGTTCACAGTCCATGTGAAGATGTTTTACTACATTATCATTCACCATGTATGTCTGCAGCAGCCTGCAGAAAAGCCTTTGGTCCTAAGAGCAGGAGAACTAACGACGTGCAGCAGAGATGAAACAAATCGCTTTGTCGATCGGCAGGAAATTAATGCGCTCTCTCCTCTCAGCTGAGTAGGTTTTGTATCATAGTAAACCAAATGTGTTTGGGTCAAACAGAGCAAGATATTTTACACTTTATCCAAAAAAACAACAGTCAAACGACAAACTGATAAATGTTTAACATAATTTAGTCCAGAATAAACTAGTTGGAACCATGAGGCAGAGCAGGACGTGTGGAACATGCACAGGAACCACACCAGTGACGTGTCCCTGTCGGAGCTGACTGGTGCATTTCCAGTCAAGCTGCCACAAAACCTCAGTGGCTGATGGGGAGGACACCTGGCTGGATGTAGGGACAGGTGAAGGGGAACACTGACACAATGAGACTGCCTTCCCAAAACAGTATCAGTCCAACCACACCTGTTCATGTTTGAGAGACAGCATGGCGGTCCACAGGGAGGAGGAGCTTGGCGTGGCTTCCTGTTTCCTGTCATCATTGAACTCCTCTAACCACGACTACCATTTGGAGTTGTGACACCTGTACGTGTCCTTCTAGAGGGACAAACAGTGATGAGTGCTGTTTGGTCTGAGAGCAGCTTGACCTTTGTGTGGAGAGGTCTGTTGGTTTGGCTACCGAGCCAAAATGTCCACAGCTTATTTATAGGACATTTTGTTTCAGCAAATAAATGTCCAAATTAAAGTTGTATTGAAAATAATGTAACAAGTTAGAAACAGTTGGCATGATGTGGCAAAACTGAAGAACAGATGTATAACTAGGCTAGCTAGGATCATGGTGACGTGGGGTGGGGGTCATTGAGTTTATACAGGGAACCATTTTTCACTTTGTTTAGTCACCCACCTGCTTCACTATGAACCACAGTAAAAGTGGCACCGCTGGTCATGTGTGAGCGGTGTCAGTGCCAACAGAAGCTCCTCCCACATTGCTGAGGACATCCGTCACTGTTTGTGTCTGCCGGCTGTTTCAGGAGCTGAGAAACGCTCACAGCGAAGAGATCATGGGCATCAGACGGGAGGAGGAGATGGAGATGTCCGATGACGATTCAGATGAAAATCCCTCTAAGAAGATGTGCACTGAGGAAAATGGTATATGAAATCAATGTCATGTTTCCAAAACACACATTTAATAAACAAGGTATGTTTTGTAAACTCAGTCCTGAGCAATAGATATGAACCTGATGCTTCCTGTCAGTCAGGAGGCACCCAGGGCCTCGCTGGAATACACAGTTCTGGCAAAGTGCTTGTAACAACAAAGCGACTCAAAGAGCTTTAATTGGGACATGAGGGCATTAAGACAAGAAGCAAGATCATTCATAGAGAGGTGTAGAAATAGAATTTGAAAAGAGTAAAATCAAGTTAAAAATAATCTAAAATAGACTGAGACAGGAGATGATAGTGCGGTGACAGAAGATGTGAAGAAATAGAAATGTAATCAAAAGCCTTCAGACCTGATTTGAAGGGACTGGGAGCTGAAGTTTTCTGGCGTTTGGTCAGATGTGGAGGAAAACGTCTGACCACTGCTCCTGCAGGTTTGGCCTGGACAGTAAGCAGATGTCTCCTTGACTCCTCTCCTCTCCTCGTTTCCTCTCCTCCTGCAGGAGTGTGTGATCAGACTCAGGCCTCGCTGAAGGAGGAGAACGACTCCCTGCGCTGGCAGCTCGATGCCTACAGGAATGAGGTGGAGCTCCTGAGGAAGGAGCAGAGCAAAGCGGGCCGTGCGGATGACAACCACACATGTGCACAAACGCACACACACAGTCCTGAGGCTCAGATCCAGCTGCTGCAGCAGAGCATGCACAACATGCAGCAGGTGGGTCCCTCACGTCTGGGGTAACTTTCAGTGGTACATACAGGCGCCTTGGATTCACAGCTGAAACAGGCTGGCCAGTCAGACGTGTGAGGTGCAGGCACTGGGAAACCAGGAAGTTAGTTACTGTAGATTGGTCACTACTATAAAAACCACCTCACAGCCTGAAAGCACAGGAGCTGTGCAATGAACCCACAGGCAGCCCAGGCCTCACACACCTCTGACACTACTGTTCCAGGACAGAGCCCTTTGGTGAGGCGCAGTTCAGCTGCTACGCCCTGAGTGGCTGGAACAGCTGAACGTGTTGGGAAGGTGCTACAGATAAAGTTTTGATTGAATGACGAAAGGTTCCCTGTGTGTTCAGACAGGGTTTTATCAGAAAAAAAGTTTTCTTTCCCCCAAACAAACAAACAGCAGCAAGTGTTTGTCACTGCTTACTCAGTGCTCTCCCATAATGCCTCACTCCACTGATTTTATAAAGCAGCACAGAAAGCTTTGTGAGAGCTCAGAGCCCATTTGCTGTGACTTAGCCTGATCTGACTTGACTTCCTGTCTTTCTCAATCTAAAGTGACAGCACTGACACAGCGAGGCACATTAGACACGCACACCACACACACTCTGCCCTGCTGGCTTGTTGTAAATGCGTTGCTTGCTTGACTTCTGACAGCGCGAGAGAACATCACACTACTGTCGCTTCTCGTTTGTCACCTGCTGTTGTTCCTGTGCCCTCAGCAGAGACAATCCGCATCAACAAACTAAACAAGGACTTCACTGGAAAAGATATTTCTTCAGTACACTTTTATTATGTCCTGGAAAAAGTCAGTGCATAGCGAATTCATTAAGAAAGGTGACGCCCGCTGCATCTTCTTAGCTCCAATCTGACCAGGTGCAGAACATGGCCAGATCCTGCAGACTGAGGTGTGCAGGTGCACGACAGACCCTGAGGAGTGGGTGTGACTTGGCCTTAAGCACAATACATGTAGATACAGCTCAGCACAAAAGAAACACATAAGATATACAGTATGTTAACATGCAGCCCTTTGATAATAGCAACATTCATTTCAGGTAGAATCGGGAAATCTTATCAGATGTGTGCTCTGGAATCCTAAAGGTGTTGTCACACCATTGTAAACAGTTCCACTGATACATGACCTGACCACACTGACAATTATAAAGAGGCTACACAGTCAGAAGAAGTAAATTTGCTCCATATAAAAACAGCGACACACCTCTGACTGCACCTTAAACAGGTGATGAGCCGTGAGCGGCAGGTGGGAGGGGACACTCAGATCAGTGCAGGGCCAGTGGGTGGCAGCGTCTGCAGTGACGAGGGTAGGAAGAACAACAGGGGGCAGGCAAGGGTGGTGCAGTGACCAACTTGACAGGCTTCAGTCACTTGGTTTTAAATACTAATGTGTGTCTGTGTTTGTTGTCCAGCAACTCCTGAGCCTGCAGGAGAAGCTGACGAGCAAAGAAGCCGAGCTGGAGCAGACGCGAGAGGAGCATCGCCACCTGGAGGGGGAGGTGCTCAGCCTCCGAGACAAGGTGTGTCCACAGAGCGCTCATGTGGTGCTCCAGCAGGTCAGGTGAGGTAAAGCTGCCACATGCAGAGATATCCAGGCTGCTGTCAGAAAGCTGCCATCACAGTGGCCAGGTGTTTATGAAATGGAAGCAGTTTGAAAGCACCAGGACCAGTTTCCTGGAAACCTTCCTCATAGTAGTTTTCTAACAGAGGAGTTGGTGTAAATCAGAGGAAGGCCAGCACAGCTGCACTGACTGTCAGGAAAATGCAAAGAAGCTACGTGTTGCTGCAGGTCTTTATACCTGCTGGTTAGAGTCTTGAAGAAAAGCCTCAGCTTTTATGTTGGTGCAAAACATTCATCCACAGAGAATATATCATCAGGGTTTTGGAGTTGTGTTTAATCACTGATCACGTTGGTGTTTCTGACACACTCTGCCCTGTTGTGTCGACTCTCTGTTCATTCTCTTCTTTGAAACAACAGCAAAGGAAACAAACACTGTGTCGCTGCGACTGATGAGACGTTGTCTCTCTCTGTGTCTCCTCAGCTGCTCAGCGACACTGGGGAGCCCGTGGAGGGCACCAACGGAGAGCTGCATGAAAAGGTAACAACAGTGATGGGGGCTGAAACAGACAACTAACTTGCAGCTGTCTGGACAGTCACTTAACTACATTTGTTTTGAGATCAATAAATCGCCTCTAATTTAAGATCCTGTGTTCAGCCTCTGCTGTCTGTAGCCAGCAGAGCTGGTGAATGATTTTTGGACATTTTCATCTGTTTTAGTGTTGTGCAAGTTTTGTTTCTGTGTCCAGAGCCAATGATGCCTTGGCCTGGGCTCCGTGACACACAGCATCTGCCTGTGGTCACTGCAGATGGTGTACTTTCATACATGCACATACAGTGTGTGTATTTAGTGCTCGTTTGTCCTTCTAAGTATTCTTGTGTGTACAAGATGTGCTCATAAATCAGAGGTAGAAGAACCCAGATACTGTACAAGAACCACTACAACGATGCAGAAATATTCCATTACCAGTAAAAGTTCTACATTAAAATCCTACTGCAGTTCTTTCAGTGTCATGTAAGTAATGTATTAGAAGTAAAAGTACACATGCAGTTAAAGTATCCACACTGTTTCAGTGTACAACAGTGTATTTTTTATGCTTGTCATATGTTTTCAGTATAAGCTCTTAATTTGAAAAGTAACTAGTAACTACAGCTGTGAAGTAAATGTAATGGAGTGGAGTAAAAAAGTAACTAATGGATGTACTTCAGTGAAGTACCTTGAGTGAAGTACTCTGAGTAAACATGTTATTTTGCATGTATGTGTGTGTGCTTATCAAACTCAGTATATTTGCCTTTATCTTAGCGTGTGTGTGTGTTCACAGGGGATGAACGGCTGCATCCCTTCGCTGTACCTCAGCAGAGACCGGAGGAGCGAGGTCATCATGAAAGGAGGGGTTGCATCGGAAAAAGAGGCGCTGCTGCTGGGTAGGTATTTCTGTTACGTCCCAGTGTCGGTTCAGAAATAGAAAGAAACCGGATATTTGATGATATCATGTTGAGTATACTGTATAGGTTTATTACAGTTTTATTGTTTTGTCTGTGGCTGAGTCTTTCTAGGGGAATATTAGTAGTTCATAAAAATACTGGATGAGAAGTTGCCAGTATCTTTTATTCAGCCCCGAGGACTTTTTATCAACCCTGGTCATGTCTCATGTGGACTGGTGGCTGCTGGACAGACACTGTTCACAGGCAGTTCACCAAGAAAATTCACCCAAGACCATAAAAGCAAGGGAGGCACATTTACAGTATTGAAAAGTGGCAATTATGTCGCTGGCAACTTCCACTTATGTGAACAGCTGTGTCATTGTGTCATTGTGTCATTGACTGTTAGCACAGCAGAAGTCTCCTCTATGAGTTTGTGTCTCCGTCATTTTCTCCGAGGAGGATGTCGGTATGTGCTCAGCACGTTTTGCTCCCCGACCCATTTCTCCTCTGTGTTCGGCTGTTCCTCTCTGGGATGATGTCAATCTGACTCGGCTGCTGTGTGAGCGTGCTATTTTGTTGCTCAGGCTTTTCGTTTTCAGACTCTGCTGCTTCCAACAAATTCTTCCGTTGCACAGCTCCAGAATAATTCTGCACTTGCTGGGAAATCTTTGACTGGAACTTTCTGATGACTCCGAGACACGTTTGATTGCCATTAAAGATGGCTGATCCTTCCTCACAGAAATGAGGTGCAGAGGAGCGTTGACCCTCTCAGCTCATCACACACACACTTCCTGGTGTCTGGTGTCTTGGAGGGCTCTCAACCATAACCAGTGAAGCAGACTAAGAGGAGACTGACTAACATGCGGGTCACTCTGCAGCTGGGCTGTTTCTCTCACGCAGCAGTAGTGAGAAATGCACAGAGTGATCTGTTCTGGTGCTGAAGCTGCTGTTTTGTCCAGACAGAGGAGAGCAGGAGAAACAGCAGCACATTTATCTCTATTAGTGGCACCAAGAAAATCCAAATATGAAAGAGAGAGGAGGCTTAGTGCTCTGTCTTCCTCCCCTGTGGTCTGCTGCTGCTGGGAGGCCTTCACTGAGCACTAACATTTTACAAGGAGAAATCTGTGTTAACTTGTTGGTGGAGCCTGCTGTGGCTGTTTACCGCCTGAATGTGTCACCTGCACACACTGCTCAGGGCTTATGAAAAGGTTTTGTCAGTGCAGCTTGTTTGGTTAAAAACTCATTTGATTTGTATCTCACGGTTGACCTGGTTCTAGCATATAGTACAACTGAACATCAGTCTGTGGTTAGAGAAGCTGTATTTTATTATGTTATGTTATGTAGATCAGGATCTCTTATTCAAGAAAAACCAGAGACATGAAGAAACAACACGCTGATATAACCAGACACAGACAACAAGCATCTCTAAATAGATTTGAGATAAGCCTCAGCTGAAGGTGCAGTGAGATGAGACTCAGCAGGTGGAGCGGCCATCATACGAGTCCCCTGATTCGCCACAGTGTCGAGCTGTATCCTGTCATGCAGCTCACCTGTGCTCAGTTGTAATGCTGTTCTTGTTTGCCTGAACAAAACAGTTTAAATGTTTACCTGTTTCAGCTCCACCAAAGAGACCTTTCTCCTCTTTTCATGACAATAAGTGATGCAGATGAATATTTCACTAAAATTCAAAGATGAGAGAGAGCGCCCAAAACTGACAGTCAGATTTTTCTGGTGACCTTTGGAGGGGCCAGACCTCTAGGTTGGGAAACACTGGACTAAGCTACCTACCGGTATAACATACATACATATACAGTAGACAGACCAGCTGCAGCAGGAAAATACAGATTAATTAATACAGTCATTATGTTCACATCAGTCACAGGAACCAGTTTCCTGCAAATTAGTGCTTTTACTTTTAATACTTTAGGTACATTTTCATGATGACCTTTATTGAAGTGGGAGTTAAATGCAGGGCTCCCACTTTGTTGTACTGGTCCTCATACTGCAGTAAAAAATCTGAGTATGTCTTCCACGGCCGAGTGGAAAAGAGTGATCCTGTGTATTCAGATTACTTCCCCCATTCTCTTTGATACAGTCAGAGTCTTCTTGGTCAAATTGGAAACAAGACTTCCTTCTTCAGAGTGCATGTGAACAGACACACAGCCTAACAGCCCTCACCCTGCAGTTCTCCTCTGGTGGCACTTTTCCATGTGAGCAGGCCCAGTGGAAGGAATTGAATTAGGCCTGTCTGCAATTGCCAGTGTTTCGCCACATAAATCAGGGAAATAAATATCGGCTGTGCCGGTTCCTCCAGGGGACGCCGCTCTATTTCCTTACCCCCACCCCTCCCTCTGGATGACTGCCTGCCTGTGCAGGACCTCTCAGAAGTAATCAACTCAAGAGTGGTTTCTGCTCGAGCCAGCGTTTATTATAAAGCCATGCTGCCATTTGTTTATTGTGCAGCACTTCATGAAGATGCAGGGCGGATGCAGCACCAGGGCCTGAACATCTCATATCCATTCCAGTGGATCTGATCTCTCTGGCTCTGTTAGACTAACAAACCGGTGCTTTTAAAACACACAAATAATAGAAATAGAAAATACAAAGTTTGCTCAAATGTATATTTACCGTGATCCACTTTGGCATGGGTTAGGGTTTGCCTGTATGAATAAAACGGACTCGTCATGTTTCCATCCAAATGCACTGCAAATTTCCAGAAAATGCTCCAAAAATGCTGGTGTCATTAAAGCAGTGCAAAAGAAGAAGAGGACCAGTCAAAGCTCAGATGATGGAAAATATGACGACAATGTGACATTTCTGTTGTTTTTGTGTGTTAGTGTGAGGAAGGTCGGTACGCCAACGTTTCCATCTCAACAGTGCCAGAACATTTTGTCATATTGCAGCTTTCTTTTCTCAAGTTTACAGTATTTTCACTCAGGTTAAATTGTTTATGTGCAGAGAATAAAAACAGGTCTGTCTGTTAACAGTGTGATTTGTTAGTTGGCCCTGTGGCATAAAACCACACGGGTATCAGTGTTCATCTCTGTTACAGCGAAGTAAACCTTTGACTCTGTTGCTAAACACTTCTGATGGCTGGACACGTCTCCTCTGCCTGAACTGAAGCATTGTGTTAGTATCTGTCATGGCTCAAGTGTGTCTGATGACCCTTCTTCTTCCCTGCAGGTATCATATCAACGTTCCTCCACGTCCATCCATTTGGAGCCAACCTCGAGTACCTGTGGTCGTACATACAGAGACTGGACTCAAAGGTACAGGAGGTCTCACAGCCTTCTAACGGTGTATAATGTTCAGTAAAACAGAGTCGGTTTCCAGTAATCACGAGAACATCTCATAAAGAAAGCTGACGTTGAGCCGGCCTGTGGAGACCCGTTCATTTGGCTTGAAAAGCAAAGTCTGTAGTCGGAGCTTTGAGCTGATGTGCTGATGTTTAGCAGGCGGTCACCAATGGGATGCTTTCAGACTTTGACCTGATGGTGGCGCTACATGAAAAGTCAGAGGATTGTGTCTCTTTGTGGGTGTTTTGTATCTATTTTTCTCATTTTGTGGATTTTGGAGTTGTGCTGTAAACTCATTGGCTTTCCAATGGAAAGGTTAATTGTCCCTTTATGGTTCTCTGGCGTTGGAGTCCCCCTGGCCCCTCGGGCCCCTGGGCCTGCGCCAGGCTGATTCCTCTTCTTCTCTCTCAGGTTTCAACAGGGGAGCTGGAGCGTCTCATGGTCCGTCTGCCCAGTATGTTCAGGCAGGAGCTGAGCGGCGTCGGTGCAACTCTGGAGAAACGCTGGAAGTTCTGTGGTTTCGACAGCCTAAGTTCGGCATAACACAGGGAGAACACACACACACACTGGGAAAACACACCAACGTGAGCGGATGTACACGACACCTCAGACCTTTAATCTGTGTGTGTATATGTGTGTGTTCTTTCATCCCAAATCAGACACTGGAAACTGCAGAAAAGACGTGTCATGGAAATTCTTGTACTGTATGTTTTGGGAGCTGCTCGATGTTCAGGAGGAAATCACGAAACCAGGTTCACTTCCAGATGTTGGCTCAAGGTGAAATAACTGAGATGGAGTGACTGTTTGACCTGGTCTTTGCCTCACAGCAGATTATCTTATCACTGTGAACTGCAGCAGGACTGAAACATCAGGCCTGAAACCACGTTTGTCAGTCCTCACTGGGCAGTCTCCTAACCTGGGTTGGGAACCCAGCAGCAGCCCAGACAGCAGGAAGCACGTCAGTGCCACAGCTGAT